TCATGTACATTTGAAAGGGAGAAGGTGTGGGGTGATGGGTGGAAAGAATGAGGAAGTGTGCTGGTGTGCTCCTAGTTTTTGTTATGGATACTTGGGGTAGGGAAAAGGCTGAAATACTGCTTGCTTACGCAGTGCTGTTACAGTGAGGATGGAGAGTGGCTTAAATGTTGCCTTGCAGGTAGGACTGGAAGATGAAGTAGAGAAAGTAGAGGAGAGACGAGTGTATAAGAGCCCTAGGCAAGAACTGGAGACAGCAGTAAAGAGAAAAAGACAACACAGTACTGCAAAGAAAGTAAAGCAAACCTGAGCCTATAAAAAAACAAAAAAAACAAAAAAAAGTAAAAAACTGGGCCTGTACAAGCGGGAATTGTCGTATAAAAATCCATTTTCAGTATGGGGCTTCGGTTTTTATGAAGTTGATGCTTAGGTAAAGTTGAGAATGAATAAGTTCTACTGCAGGGTATAAAGACAGGAAAAAGAGAGGTATGCTGGATGTATAGGGAGTCAGCCTTTGCTTCGTTAAAATTTTGGAGGCAAAAAAAAAAAACCGAAGTGGAAATGTTTTACAAAGTCACAAGGTGCCAAAGGCAAAACATTGGAATTGTGCGGAATTTTTATGTAAATCCAATCGAATCTTTTCGCTCGCAGCTTCACTTGGACAACAACTTCATAAATGGAAAAGTTCCCTACTGTAGACGGTTATTGTAACGCAACTCTCATTCGCATAGGCTCAGTTTTTATTTGCTTTTTTGCCTCTGTTTATAGCTTCCAATTCTTTGATTTCGCCTTCCTTCATAAGCTCAATTTTTTAAAATTTTTGTAGTGCTGTGGTGTCTCCTCCTCTTTACTGCTCTCTCCAGTTCCTGCCTCGAGCTCCTGACTTATACCTTTGTCCCCTTCCTCTATCCTATCCCTAATTCGTGCCTCCAGAGCGGTTTCTGGGCACCCACTAACCATCACCTCCAACCACGCTCCACCCCCTCCAACCACGTTGTCCAGCCAGTGGCGATGAGTAACGCTATCTATTACCCCTCTGGCAAAATGCCGGATGGTGCTGACAAGTGACGCCGTGAAATAGCATTAGTAGAGAAACGAGAGCGTCCTGAATGGCGGTCAAGCCTAGCCGCGTCGAGTTTCAGTAAGTGCTTGTAATTGTTCCTCTTTAGCTGTCGTTGGGGTCGTCTTTTTCCTTATGGATACTACCCGGTAATGCTCGGTACTCACCAATTGCCAACCAGGTGAGCAGCTTGCCCTACTCATCGGCTTTTACTTTCTCTTTTTAAGAGAGTGACAACTGCCACTAATCGTACAGGCATTCTGTTTGTTTATATGGTCACGTTGTTTATGTGTGCCCTCCATCATTTTCTTCGTCACAGTAAGCGTTCGCTCTTCAGCTTTCATTATCTACTACGTCCGCATCCTTACGTAATTGCTTTCAACGCATTCGTTTTGAAGAGTTGGCCACAGTCCTTACCGTACGTTGGAGATATCGACAATACTCTAAAATTTCCAATCACCGGCAGTTCTTCCGTGTATTTCAAAAAAAAAAAAAAAATTGTGACGCACATTTACGTCATAATCAAGATAGACTTGGCTGTAAGCTTTCGTCAAGCTAGCACAGCCTTTCTGCAGTTTTGACATCGACATACTAGTGCTTTGCATCACCTTCAATGCGTTAACCTTCATCCGACGTGCACTGAGCTCCTGGAGCATCTTATTGGTCCCACCAGGGATTTTCATAATTGGAGCTGTGTTGTCCGCAAAACATAAGTGATTTAGCTACGCGGCGTTGATTTGCAGACTGTCCATTTTCCGAAACACGATCTCGAGGTAAGCCGTGAAAAGTTTGGGTGGTGTGGGATGGCCGTGCTTTACTCTCTCTTTCGACTGAGATCGAAGTGGAAAAAAAATGTTATGTCTGTTGAATATCCTTATTTGTCGAGCAGTCCATATTCACAGTCTGATATAAAATCTCTTAGCATGGCACTCAGCTGTTTGCCGTCAAATGCTTTTTCGATATCGGCGAATAGGCGACAGAGAGGGAGTTCACACTCCCTTGAGCGTTCTAACAGCTGGTTTGAAGTGACAGTATAGTCCATCGTGCTGTAATTACTTTGAAATCCAGGTGTTCATTGAGTAGTCTTGTTAATCTGTTAGTGAAGAGTTTATCAATTATGAGGGGGTGGGCAGATCGGGCGGTGATTCTTCAGATCTTCTTTTTCACTGTTGTGCGGCAGAATGGGGATTTTCAATTGTTTCTAGGTGCTGAATAGTCTTATTTAGGTTTAGTGCTATCTAAATTGAATAATACAGTGGACTTGGTTTTTTTTTTTTTGATGATCGTTCTGGAACTGGTTCTTTATTTTGTAGAACCACTGTTCACCATCCCGGTCCACGTGTGTGGCAGTCAAGTAGCGACTCTGGCAGTACATTCCTGCTGCCTCTCTCGAAATAATGTTGTTGCGTAGCACGGACTGGAAAAAGTTGGGTCGAACATCAGTAACTGGCAATTCATCCATTTACTTAATTAGAGGCAGGCGTACTGTCGAAACACGCGAAATGTAGAGGCCGAATGCAGGTTTATGAAAGTTTGGTCGATTTGTGTCACGGTGAAAGTTGTATAGGATGCTGAGGTGCGTGGAGGGCGGCATTCTGGATACTTTTCTGAATGAAAGGGGAAATTCAGTTTGGTGGGCGAGCCATGGGCTTCTTTCATAGTTGAGCTATATTCGAAGGTAGAAAACGACATCCAAAGGGATGGTATGTGCATAATATAATCCTAGGGAGGGCTTGGGACAGCGACACATGACTGGTAGTG